ATATATATATATATATATATACATATATATATACATATATATATATATATATATATATATATATATATATATATATATATATATATATATATAGTATATATATATATATATATATATATATATATATATATATATATATATATGTATGTATGTATGTGTATGGTTGTGTATATATATAGGTGTATATGTTGCAGTGACCCCCATTTAGACTCGCAATGGCGGGTCACCCCTGCACAGCCTCGACCCAAGATCCTTGCCTTAATTGGCCAGGAATAGGAAAGTCTATCCACCATGATTTAGAAGACATGAAGGAACGGACAAAACATACCGTGCCAATATGCCATGTGTTTTGCTTTATTTCTTTTTTTCAGGAAATCTTTTATATCACTATTCCTTTTTCAAAACATTACATATTAATCTAAGAGGCTCCTTAAAGTCCCTGCCATGAATCGGCAAGGAAGATTGTTCTTTAAAAGGAAGGGATTCCAAAATTCGTATCTATAATATAATTGATTTTAAACGATTATTTTCGTATTATTTTATTATTATATTTGTTTATAGGATTTTCATTGAATTCGTTTTTCCAAGTATATTGAAACCATTCCCTGGGGGTAAGAATGAGGTTGATGAATCGGCATATGAAATATAGTTTAGGTAATCTGTCTCCCGATTGCATCTTATCTTAGAATGGGGCCTCATTTTTCTTTTAACTGGGTTTTTCTAATTTAGTTATTGTTGTGTGTCTATTTTATGATCCAGAAAACGTCAGTTCACTTTTATAAATGTTTTTCAATTCAATAATATTGTAATTGTGTTATGTGATCCTTGTTTTTCTTTCAGATGCCAGTGATATTGCCCACAATCATATTGAGAAATAATACAAGATACAAAAGGGTCTCATCAATAACAAAGCTAGCGCAAAGGATCAAAATAGTCAAACGATCGGGGAAGGTTACACATTATTAAGCTAAAAGAGAAAAGAGACTTGTAAAAGAAAAGACACCGTAAGCATAGGTGTCATAGGAGTGGAGAAAATGAATGAATTGATAGAAAAAGTGACAACGCCTCAATCTCAAAGTCGCACTGTACACCTAAGTGTTGCCCACCGTTGAACTTTGTTTATTTCGTGAAGATTACTTAGTATAAGACACATCATTTTATTGCTTTCCACGGACTTCTTTGTTAAGCCCACTTTGCGAGCAAAATTCGCACACGTCTCCTCGGCCATACCAGTCTACCAAATTCCCGAACACATGCACGAACACTAGACACACACGGAGCTTTCTTTCGTTTCATTCATTCTTGATTTCTGATCGGGCAGAAATATCTAATAATCAAAGCTGAGAAATGCACTACAATATATATACATTATATATACATACATGAATATATAATATGTTTACATTATAAGTATATGCATAAATGTGTTGTGTATTATATATATATATATATATATATATATATTATATATATATATATATATATATATGTATATATATATATAGTATATGTGTGTGTGGTGTGTGTGTGTGTGTGTGTGTGTGTGTGTGTGTTGTGTGTGTGTTATGTGTGTGTGTGTCTCACTCATTGATTATCCACTCATCCATAAACTGATTTGAAAATTACCAATAGTAAGACAATATTGACATGAAACGTCATTTGAAAAATCCATATAATTTTTTGTTCCTTTCGCTTATTTTCCTTTTTTCGATATCATTTAACATTTTCTACAAGATACACACAGAAGGTAATGTGAAGCCCCGGCATGGCTATAGAAGATCAGCTGTCATTGCACTACGACTTTTCATTACATAAGCAAAATTGCGGAATCACTCTTATCTTCATCAAACTTAACTATTTTCCAAATGAAATAGATTATCACCAACGACAAAAACTCCAGCACCACCACTATCACACCACTATCCCTTCCACTGACTGGAGGGCTTCTGTTCCCGCCACTCAGTTCAACTATTTTATATGAGAAGTATTGCTTGCAGCAGATCCGAGTGAGCCAACGGAATTCTTCAAGCATTAGCGAACTGAAATAGCATAGACTCACGAGGTAGCGTATCCCCCAAGCACTAACCCTCGGGCATGCGGTGAAACAACAGCGTCTCCTTGCTTGTGCTGCTTCTCTTTCGAATTTTAAACTTCTTTTCATTAAAAATCAATGCAGCGATATGAAATATCTAA